TCGTGAAGTACCATGGTGTTCTTGTGAGTATTGCCTCGGATTGTGACCCAAGATTTACTTCTAAATTTTGGGTGGCTTTTCAGGAAGCTTTGGGTACGAGGTTACTTTATAGTACAACTTATCATCCTCAGACAGACGAACAGTCAGAGAGAACCATTTAGACGTTGGAGGATATGTTAAGATCTTCGGTGCTACAGTTTGGCGATGCTTGGCACAAGCGATTGGATTTAATGGAATTTGCCTATAACAACAACTTTCATTCGAGTATCGGCATGGCACCATTTGAGGCGTTGTATGGTAGATCTTGTCGTACCCCCTTGTGTTGGTCAGAGGTCGGAGAAAGAGTTTTGGTGGGCCCGAAGATTGTTGAGGAGACTACTCAAAATGTTCAGGTAATTAAGTCTAACCTGAAGGCAGCCCAGGATCGATAAAAGAGCTTAGCGGATTGGCATGCTACGGACAGAGTGTATGAGGTTGGCGATTGGGTGTTTCTGAAGCTTTCACCGTGGAGAGGTGTTGTACGGTTTGGAAAGAAAGGTAAACTGAGTCCCAAGTATATCGGACCGTACATGATCACCGAGCGAGTTGGTGAGGTAGCTTACAGGCTTGAGTTGCCTTCTGAGCTGGCAAAAGTGCATAATGTTTTCCACGTGTCTATGCTTCGACATTATGTTGCGGATCCGTCTCATATGATACCTCCTCAACCCTTGGAAATTAATCTAGATTTAACTTATGATAAGGAACCAATGACGATTCTGGATTGGAAGGAAAAGGTTCTGAGGAACAAGACTGTGAATTTGGTGAAAGTTTTGTGGAAGAATCATTCAGCGGAGGAGGCTACTTGGGAGACTGAAGATCGGATGAGAGATTTGTATCCCCGGTTATTCTTTGATTATTAGTGGTTGCTGTGAGGGGTTGTTATGAATTTCGGGACGAAATTTTTTTAAGGTGGGTAGGTTGTGACAACCCGTCCCGGATTTTTCGTACCGTAGGGGTGAAATGACGGTTTTGCCCCTAGTGATTTTGTTTCGTTGTGTGGTCGTTTTGGGGATTTGGTTGGCTGCATTTGGACCACACACACACCCTCACACTTTCAATCTCATCTTCTGTCTATCCTGAGTCTCTCTCTCTCTCTCTTTCTCTCTTCTCTTCACCATACGTACGGACAAGAACAACGTGCTCGATAACGTGGTAGATCGAGGAAGAAAACTATATATTTATGCTCGTGAGGGTTCTTAGGAGTTCAACCATACCCATTTCAGGTAAGGATACCTTCGTTTTCACGTCGAACTCGAGATCCCCGATTTGGCCACTGTTCATGCACACGTAAATTCATGTGTTTTTGGGAATTTCAGGCTTATAGGAAGCTTGGTGAGGTCCTTAGGAGTCTCAGGGTGGTTCGTTTGAAGGTTTTGGACGTCGGGATCGTGAGTTGCAGGTTTGGCCGAATTTGGTGGAGTTTTTCTAGCGAGATTCTGTTAGTTTTAGTGCTTGAAAATGGTAAGGTTTTGTTCCTCTAGTTGTAAGCTTCATTTTGGTACCAATTTCGTGAAATTTGGGTGAAAAACGAGTGAGATATGAAGTTTGAAAAATTTCCCGATTTTCCGGCGACGGCGACGGCGCCGGAGGTTGGCCGGAGAAGACGACGGAATATTCCTAACGGCGTTAGGTTAACTTTAACGGAATTTGTCAAAGTTAATGAAATATTCCTGACGGCATTAACTGACGCCGTTAGTATGCCAGGCACGTGCCTGCGTGTGGGCGGCGCGTGTGGCCGTGCCTTGGTCGGCGCGTGGGGGCGCGTTCGGCGTCGGAAAATTATTTTTAAAATATGGGGATGTTCGTGAGGTTGAGTAGATCATGTTGGTGTATTCATACACCCCATTTGAGCATTGTATGAGAAGTTATTACCTAGTTTGGGTTATGTGCATTAAATTAACGTTTTTATAGTTGTTTCGCATATAGGTGAGACCTATCCCGAGGACGAGCGCAGTCACTCAAGGTAAGGGGGTTACGACCCTTCTACATACCAGTGAGTGGGCTTTTGGTTTTCCGTATATACCTATATACTTGTGATTTTCCCAGAAAATGAAATTACACGTTTATATGTTTTAAATGCCATGCTTTGCGTTTGCCTAATTAATTATGCATTAGTAGTTGCATATTTATACATGTTTGGTGCTGTAGACGCACAGGTAAGTGACAGGTAAGTTGTGGTTTACGTTTATGTTTAGTAGTGATTTAAGATGCATAGCGAGCTCATAACCTGCACCCCTGGTGTTAGTGCTCCCGCCCAAAGTGGGGCACAGTCCTTCACGTGATGTTCACCTCCCGCACCACACGCTCATCTTGGATCCAAGTTAAGTGCACAGTCCTGTCGTACAGACCACTATAGGTGGTTCTGACTCATAGGTGACCCGCGATTATTCGCCCAATCTTCACGTGATCGTAGCACTAAAGCGTACTTATTTACACTCAGTTTTGTCATATAGACCACTTTAGGTGGTTCCGACTCGTGTGCAGGTATAGTTAGTGAGTTGTGGACTTGAGCTCTAGATTCAGTCGTACAGGTAACGTTAGATGACTTCGGCTGACAGATTATATGGCATTGATTAACATTACCTGAGTACTTGCATTTTGTTTAGAGGCATTCGACATGGCATATTTCTGAGCATGTTTTATATATATGTGTATATTCTATTTTCTGGGAAACTATACAGGTTTTATGGCAAAGGGTTAGAACTTTTGATATTGAAATGATTTTGAAAAACTTTGTTTTTGCCCACTCACACTTTCTATTTTGCGCCCCTCCAGGTTCTAGTTTGGATAGCTCTGTTGGTGGCTCTCGAGGGATTCACGGCATATCTGACAGATTATCACCAGTGTAGGACCACCTATGGGTGTGTTTATTTAGTGTTTGTTCTCCCAGATTACACTAGCTATTCCGTGCTCTGAATATTGTTTCTCACACTTACGCTTGCACTTGTATGTTATCTACTTAGTGTATAGCTTGGTTTTTTATTTATTCGTACTTTTATTATTATTCTAAGCTTCCGCACTATGCACATGGTTACGTCACCTTCACGTGACGGCCAGCATGCCCTGACCTCGGTCGGGGTGTGTCAATTCCGCCCTCAACAATATTAACGGAAAGTATTACTTTAATTTCAAACTTCACAGTGAGGCGAAGGTGAAAATAAAGAGTTTGAACGATGATTTATGTACGAATTTGTAAAAACTGACAAAAAAGCATGAGTGTTAACCCACTTTTTTGTTAAAAATGCAAATTTTTTATTTTCATGAAACATTTTCCATGAGCATTAAGAAAAATTATCATAAGGCATTTAGAAGCGGATTTACGATTTATTGTGCATATTTAGTAGACTATTTAAGTCGAAAACTAAAAAAATGAGTGAAAAGTGTAGTAGGGAGGCCCAAAACATTGTTAAAATGGGGTTCCACCCTCAAGAATATAACAAAAAGTATTACTATAATTTTTCAAACTTCACGGTGAGGCGAAGGTGAATAGTCTGAACGACGATTTATGTACAAATTTGTAAAAACCGACAAAAAACTGTGAGTGTTAACCCTTTTTTATGCAAATATTATATTTTCGTGAAACATTTTCCGTGAGCAAATAGATTGAACGGTGATTTATATACGAATTTGCAAACCGATTGAAAACCGAGAGTTACCCACGTTTTTTTGTGAAAATGCAAATTTTTTATTTTCGTGAAATATTTTCCATGGGCATTAAGGAGAACTTTATAAGGTGTTTCAAAATAGTTTTATGATTTATTGATGTACGAATTTGTCAAACCGACTAAAAACCGTGAGTGGTAACCCACGTTTTTTTGTGAAAAATGCAAATGGTTTATTTTTGCGAAATATTTTCCGTGAGCATAAGGGAGAACTTAATATGGTGTTTTGAAGCGGTTTTAATATTTATTGAGCAACACACTTAGTAGAATATTTAAGCCAAAAACTGGAAAAATAAGTTAAAAATACAATAGTGAGGACCAAAACATTGTCAAATGGGATTCCACCCTCAAAAATCCCAACGGAAAGTCTTCCTTTAATTTTCAAAATTTCACAGTGAGGCAAAGGTGAAAATAAATAGGTTGAACGATAATTTATGCATGAATTTGCAAAATTGACTAAAAACCATGAGTTAACTAACTAACACCCACGTTTTTTTTTTTTTATCAAAAATGCAAATTTTTATTTTTGCGAAATATTTTCTGTGAGAATTAAGGAAAACTTTATAAAGTATTTGAAAGTAGATTTACGCTTTATTGACAAAAAAAATGTATATTTAGAAGAATATTTAAGCCGAAAACTCAAGAAATAAGTGAAAAATATAGTAATGAGACCCAAAACATTGTCATATTATAGAACTTTTGAAAGCGGTATTATTATTTTGAAATCTCAATGAACGTACGTATAAAAAACTTTGAATTAAATCATTCGAAAAAAAAAATCTTTGAATTAATAACGATGAGTGGCATAGCTGGATAGTGATCTGGAGTTCCAGATTTATTTTTCGTCGGATTTGGATCCATCCAGATTCAAGTTGTGAGGATCCTCATATTCTAATCGTTTATCGTACATTATGCGATAAAAAATTATTTTGAATCTATTTATTTAAAATTAAACACAATAGTATCGAATGAAAACTGACCTTACGATATAATTATGAACGACCATGATAAGAGGTTCCTTATAATCCCCACAAGAGGATCCGGAGAATATCCTCTTCCATCATTTTTGCCGAAGAAAGAAGGTAAAGCACCGCACGGGCTGGTCAACGGTCAAGTATGTCATCTGCGTGACTAATAACGTTAGCCTGGCAGGTGGCAGGTGGCAGGCAAGGCAATTCTGTAATTCCCAAAATGTTAGCGGTTGGCATTGTCCGTTGAGCTCCGCGTGTTTCGGTTTGGTTCCCGCTAAAATAGCAGAAAAAGTAAATTTGTACAAACGGTAATCAACATATCCATTCCTCCTCCTCTTTCGGCTCTCTTCATCTCTGCGCTTGTTCTGGGTTCCAACGGCCACCGTCTGCCATTTCCTCTTTCCCTTTTCTTTTTCTTTGATAATTATACATTTTGTTTCAAAATTTTATTTTTAATCTCTGGGTTTGCCATTTAACCCATTTGATTTGATTCTTTTTACTTTTGAATTCTTAAGTGACGTCTTGTATTGAATGATCCTCCTCCTCTGACTTCAACTCTTTCCATCTCAATCATCTTTTTTGGTTGCAGGTACGTGCTTTCACGTTTCCAATATTATTATAATTCTATTCAGACGAAATAATTTGTTCAAAATATTTGATATATATATATATATATGTGTGTGTGTGTGTGTGTGTATTGTTGTGACTCGTACATCCATACATGCATGCGTGTTGCGCGCAGAAGAAACCAAAAATGGCGAATGTCCGTATAAAGGATCAGCAGAAGGCTCCCGGCTCCCCGAGGGCGGAGGTGGGAGAGGTTGACACCCGAGCACCCTTCCAATCTGTCAAAGCTGCTGTTAGTTTGTTTGGCCAAGTCGTTTCTAGAGGAGGAAAATCTTCCAATGCCAATGCCAATTCCGATTCCAATTCCAGTGCCAGCCCCAAAGCCAATGCTAATGCCAACGCCAATGCCAATGCCAATGCCGTCAAGAAAAAGCTTTCGCCAGAGGTACAATATTCAATCAATATATCCCTTCAACGCCAATGCCACTGCAAAATGCTAACGTCTTGCGAAGAGAACAGCCTTTCTATTTTTGTATTGCGTATATCATCTCTTCTGAATGATTTGATATTTAACTAGGGATTTCTTGTTTGTCAGACTAATGCACTGGACAAGGAGACGCAACTTCTGTTGGCACAGAAAGAACTAAACAAGATTAAGCAACAATTAGGGAGTGCAGAAACTACCAAAGCTAGAGCACTCTCTGAGCTTGATAAGGCCAAGAGAACACTGCAGGATCTGAACACCAAGCTCAAAACTGTAACAGACTCCAAGCGATCAGCAATTAAAGACGCCGAAGATGTAAAGAATCGGGCTAAGAAACTAGAAGAGGTCAAATCCAGAGAAACCATTGAAGGTAATGCTTGGAAACGGGAATTGGACCACGAAAGAAATGAATACACAGCCACTGTGACCGAACTCGATGCAGCAAAGCAAGAGCTTACCAAAATCCGACAGGACTTTGACGCCGCCTTTGAAGCAAAACTGGCTGCATTCCAACAGGCGGCGGAAGCTCAGCGGTCGGCAAACGTTAACTCAGACAGGGTTAACGAGCTGTCGAAGGAGGTTTCAGCCATGCAGGGATCCATTGAACAGCTCAAACTTGCCGCCCTGCAAGCCCAACAGGAGCAGGCAAAAGCCGTGTCTGAAAAAGAGGCCCACCTTCGATCCTACCGAAGCGCGAAGCAAGAAGCAGAAGACAAATTGCTATCTTTGAAGAATGAGGTTGATCCTGAACTGGCCAAAGAACTAGAGGCAAAGCTTGAAGAAACAACATCAGAGATTGAAATTATACAAGAAGAGATGAAGAAAGCGCACGCGTGCGAAATGGACTCCGTGAGAGTGGTAACTATGGAGCTCAATGAAGCCACAAAGATGCTGCAGGAAGTGGCATACGAAGAGAGCTCTCTCCGAAGCTTTGTGAGTTCCCTTAGGCTGGAATTGGAAGATGTGAAGAGGGAACAGGCTGAATTGAGGACAAAGAAATGGAAATGGAAGCAATCACTACTAAACTAACTGATCAAATACAGAAAACCAAGGACGAGGCAGAGGCACATCGTAATGCACCTCCTAGTCCTCATGAATATGATGCACATCACAGTTCAACTGCTGAGAAGCTTTCATCTGAAACTGAAAGCACTAGGCTGGAAGCAGAAAAGATGAAGGAAAGTGCTAATCAACATAAACGAGAAGGTGAAGATAGCAGAGTTGCAGCAGAGAAAGCAGAAAAGAAATTGAAGATTGCCCTCGAAGAAGCTAAAGATGCACGAGAAGCAGAAAAAAGAGTCCTCGGGGAGCTGAAGTTCTTATCTGGGGGAACACAGGAAGAAGGTACGTCTTCAAACTCAGAGACCGGTGCTGCCAAGATCAGACTATCGGAGGAGGAGTTTGAATCTTTGAGAAGGAAAGTCGAGGAATGTGAAAAATTGACTGAGATGAAAGAGGCAGAAAGCATAAACCAAGTGGAAGCACTCAACGTACGAAAAAGTGAAGTAGATAAAAAGCTGGAGGCCAATTTAAAAGCCATAGAGGAAATCAAGACTGCAACAGACATGGCATTGAACAAAGCAGAGATGGCAGAGTCGGCAAAATCAGCAGTTGAGGGAGAACTTCGCAAGCGGCATCAAGAAGAACAAATGGTGCTAGACGAGTCATCAGTATCGTTCCCCGTTCAGTTCTAGCAGGATTCAAGAGAAGATCACAATGGCAGACAAGTCGGATGGGAATGGGATCTCTCGTAGTCCTCTAGAGAGAAACACCAACTTCCAATCCAACAGGTCCCATTTTGGTGTATTGATTGTATTCAGGAAAACTTGTTTGTAAGTCTCAGTGATTCAAAAACAGGGAAACATGTAAATCTCCCGTTTTCTTATCTCAATACTCAAAACAATATTTTCTGCTTTTACTGGCTCTTCAGGGCAAAATTTAACAAGTCAGCATGCAGACTTTAACCAACTGATCTGCAGACGTGTCGTCGCTACAGAAATAGCACCAGCACCAGAAACTGACATGTCAAAAAAAAATTAGAAATCGCTGAAGGTTAAAACACGTTAATCTGTGCAATTACCATATCGGTTGGAACTGTGCAACTAAAGATGACAATTTTCCTGCTGCACTACTACAACGCATATTAGGCTACTCGTAGGTCTGAACTAATTATCCAGTGGCAGCCCCATATGTCAAATTACATCCACTGTATTAGCTCTGCGATTGTTAAGTTCGCGTAGATAATGTCAGCAGTCACCATTACAACCAATCATTTCACATGATTGCAACTCTAGGATCAGTAATGCAAAGACTCCTTGTCCACCAGCTTTAGAGTGAGCACAAAGCCATAAGATTCATCACAAGTTTGCACGGCACCAAACTCTGGTTTCAGTCGCCATTGATTTTTAGGCCATCTAAAGACTCAGATAGCCCATTCTGATTACCAAACTTGTTAAACTCAGATACAATCGTTTTAGCAATATGAGTTCTTTCTGCAGCCGCCTCAGGTACATCCACATGAAAAGAACCATGTCTGATTGGTTGAACGGATTCCTTCATCAGAGACTGCTGCCTGATGTGGGTGTAGAGTTGTTGATGAAAGTGGTGGTCCAAGGAGAAGCAATTGTCAGCTCCATTCTGTGAATTTCGAGATGATCCTGAACCTTCTCCTTCACAGAAATGTGGAAGGGATGCATAATCCATTATCTAAACAAACATCAAATCCAACTACAAGATTAGTCCATTTAAATACAAGAAGCAAAATTGGCTATATGTCCATCACATGGGTTTGCCTTCGCATCCAGTTTCAACAAGTACATTGACTTACAAAGAGGAAACATGTTCATGCACAGTGAAAATACTAAGGATATTAAATTAACTATTAGAAAGGTAGTTTAACGTGACTGAAAAAAAAAGAGATGATTTTGAGTAATATGAGAAGAACTCATAAGCATTCAAATTTGCAATACATCAAGCATTATAGGGAACACATTACCTCCAACAGTTCATCCCTACCACAACCAGACAACACTTGCACTTTTTTCCTTGTCCTCTCCTGCAAAAGTGGTTTGACAACCTGACAGGCCAAGAATTATACGACTCCAATTCCAAAAGGGCATCTAAAATATATAAAAGGGCTCATGCAACAACCTCAATTGTACTTATGCAGGAAACAAAAGATTTAAGATTACATTATATCACAAAGATTAACAATGTGAAGACTAACCTTCCAACAAGCTGAGAATATATAAGGGGCATTTACAATGTAGTATGTATTTGTCTTCTCCGGGTAGTTCAAATCATCAATGGTTGATATAGTTGTCAGTAACTGCACGGACATGTAAAATATAAGGTAGTGAACTGTAGAACTCATGTAGATGCTTACAAAGTAGAATCGTCGCAGTCATGCATTACAAGAGATTTATAATCATCCTAGTTTATATTTTTTTCACATATTTATAAAAATAATTCCTCGCTAAGGAACATTGGACAAACCTTAAAAAAATAGTGATTTGTACTTGTCATAGGAAAGAACAAGATGAGTTTAAACTGTAATGAAAACAAACAAAAAGAAAGAACATCATTACTATCAAGTTATATGTACCTTTATTTGGCTTAGTGCCGAGAGCTTCAAACCAGTCATATCTAAAACCTTGATGCAAGTGGTAATAGGCTTACCATACTTCTTCGATGCAGAAGGCTACAGCCAAACACACAGGTCAGAAGGATGATTCAAGAAACCTTAGAGATTCAAGATCTGGTACTCACCAAAATTACACGATCTCGATATTCATTAATTTGAATGTGTGACTGCACATAGTAGTGAACCTGTAATCAAGATGAAAAATATTTCTCAAAGATTGTCAAGACTGAAGGACCCTCAGCACCAAGTTAAAATGGCTGAAGTAGGTAACATTGTTGTCAATTGTAGGACAAGATGGTCTTTCATTTTCATCTAATACTTACCGATGCTTTGTCAAATGTACTTAGCCCAACACCAATGGCAAAGACGGGCAAGCCCTGAAGAGCAAAGGAGAATGAATAAACATTTCAAAGGCTTATAGCACACACAAATTACACGAGAAAAACCATTCGTAGAAGAGACATGACAGTGTAAACGCCACAAAAGAGATAAGTTTTAAGAAAGAATGAGCACCTCTCTTGAGTAACCCGAAAGACCTATGAGCTGTGAATCTCGCACTCCTCTGTATAGTTCAGTTGGAACTATGGGCTTCTGCAACAGAGGAATAAGATTCAGGCAATGTCAGCAGCAGTAGGCCACCATGGTTATACATTAGATTGGTAATTTGGCAATCAGTGGCAAACATCAGACAAGTAGGAGCAAAGGATAAACTTACGGCTAATATATTGTCAATATCATTTTGTACCCTCCAGTTTAAACAATCGACCAACTGGAACATCAGAAACATACCATTTGATTTCATCAATAAAAACAAAAGCAAAACAAGTGAGCCGACAATGGATATGACATCATTAGGTGAAATGTGGAGGCGATGGGGATGCAGTGTTACCATTTTATGGGCTTTGGCAACATTGGAATCCCTTGCTTTGAGAAAGCGGCCGAAAGTCTCAACTAGATAGCCTTGATGAACATTCTATAAACCAAGAAACAATTACAACGATCATCCATACAAGACAAGAAATTTATAAAGACTCAAGTGTCTGTCTTGTCCCCTACTTGATGTTCATGTTATTAAAATCAAAGAATTAGATTTTTTCAGTTTAAACTCCAGTAACATGATTTGAGTGGCAGCAAATGCCAAATGGGCAATTGGAAATTGGAAATTACCCAGAAGAAAGAAAGAAAGATGAAAGATTACATTAAGCAATGGGATGATGAGATGGGATTGATTCTAGTAGTGTTGGGTTGATTAATCATCACATGATTCACAAGATGGTAGTGTATACTACTAGTCTACTAGTTCGATTAGCATTAGCATTAGCATTAGCAGCACCCCAAACCCAAAAGGTTTAAAAAGCACGTCAATTAAAATAAAATAAATTAAGTAAAAAGAAAGAAAGTAGAGAAGAGAAGAAGGAGAAGAAAGTTGGGAGCGAGGAAAATGCGAACCTGAAACGTTCTCTTGAGAGGCTCATCAACTGCATTTCCCCAGATTCCACCAATAAAAAAAACAGTAGAAATATCAGAAACAGTGAAAATATAAAATATAAAATGCCAAAAGGTAAGAAATAGGAAAGAGAGAGAGAGGAAGCACACCTTGGTCAATCAGAGCTTGGAACTGCTTGATCGCTTCCTGAGAAACGATCCCCATTTCTCTTCTTCTGCTGCTGCTGCTGCGCCTGTGTCTCTATCTCTAACTCTCTAAGGAGGATCCGAGTGAGCCTCTGTTTTCTTCTGTTGCTGCTGAGTACTGGTTTGGTACTGACATCATTTTATAAAAAATAGATATAAAAAAATTGAGTTTAAAAAGATGTTTGATAAACATTTTAAAATAGTTTATTTTCACAATTTTAGATGAAAAAATACTAAAAAAAATAACAAAAATAAACTTATTCTTACATCACAATAGAAACAGTTTTTTTTCAAAACACAACAATACTAAATCAGCCTTAAATCAAGTTATTGTAACCAAAGGGAAAGACAAAAGAAAAAGAAAAAGAAACCAAAAAGATATTTATTATTATAATTCTAAAATTCATTCTTTAATAATTTTAGGTTAAAAATTTAATCAAAAATGTTGAGTAAAAAACTTATTTTTGAATTAAAACTTAAAACTAAATTTTTTTTTTATGTAGATAATATTATTTCTTAAAAGTAAAAATAAAAAATAAGTTTTAACCTTAAAATTGGAGATAATCTTACTAAAAATATGGTCTAAATGTTGTCTCATCACCTTATTTTAATACAATATCTTCTTCTTATATTTCTATATATATTTAAAGTGCAAAAATAACTTTGTTATAATCGTTAAAGTCACAATAGGTATGTACGAGACTTGGGCCTTCGACGACTATTTGCATGAGCCCAGTGAAGTACGTGTCCAATCCTTAATTACCGTTTTCTTTGAGGAAGCTTCCTGGCACTTTACATTTTACGCGTGAAGTTTAATAATTTTCATGGAAAAAGAAAAGCATGTTTGACTATGGTTAATTAATAACGTTTTAACGAACGACTCATGCAGCCTGCCATATTGAATCAACCCAATGTGGCATAAGTTCATTTTTAAAAAAATTCAATATATAAATACATTAAATCCAACAATTAAGATTAAATATGAACAAATCTAACGATAAAAAAAAAAAAAAAAATTCACAACTCAACTTAAATCCAACTGCTAAACAATTAAAAAAAATCTATTTAAATCAAAATTCAACCAAAAATTCTATAAATGTTTATGTATTTGTCCAAATATCCATACAAAATCACTTTCGTCTAATTCTTCATTTTTTTTTCTTTCTATCCATCTATGTATTTGTGTTTAAGGATGGGGTCGATTGTGAGGTTTTTCATGTTCTTTCATGTGGTGCATATGTGTAAAAATGAGGTAGGTTTAGTGATTTTTCATCACTTATTAGAAATTAAATATTTTAGGTTAAAATGTTTATAAAAATAAATTAAGATAGTCGACATAAATTTTATTTTAAAAAAAATTATCAAAAAAAAGGCTAAAATCATTCTTCAATATTTCAGGCTAAAATTTTCAGCCAAAATCATTTGAGGAGGACAACTGTTACTGGGTTAGAACCTAAGGGGACGTTTGTTTGCCCTCGCTAACTCTCACTGGATTGGACTGGACTAAGGGTTAGTCTAGTCCCTTGTTTGTTACCCACTGGCACTAACATTAATGACACTAACCTTCACTCGCCTCGACTAACCATGGGATTAGCCGGTCTTAGCGAACCCCCTAAAAAACCATGGGATTGCTAGTCCCGTTTCCAGAACTGCATACGATGTCTGCATTGCAAGTTTGCAAGCATGATTATGGGCAACTTTGTTTGCCCACCCATGCCCGGATCTGAAACCCAATCCACCCACAACCTAAATCTCAAAATCCAGCCACCAAAATTCGAAAAAAAAATAAAGCAAGACAATAACAATAGCAATCTTAGTAGAATAATTCTTCCTTATTCCCGAAACTTCCCAGAAATTTCCCAGATAATTTTCTTTTTCCCATAAAATTTCAGAGAAAAATGGATAGAGAAGGGGAGAGAGTAACTTTGGGGATAAAAAGAGATGGAGAGACGGAAAGGGAGGAGAGAGTAGCTTTGCAACGATTTTGTAGGAAAAATGGTTTTGAAGTTTTCTGCAGAAAAAATGGATTTGAACTTTGAAGCATTTTGAAGGAAAAAAGACGGGAGGAAATGAAATAATGGGCGATGAAACCAAAGAGGAGGAAAGTACTCTCTAGAGAGAGGTAGAACCGTAGAAGAGTGTCTAGAATTTTTAGAAGGAAAAGGTTGAATTCATAATAAAATATTATTAGATATATATATTAAATATTATAATATTATAATTTATTAATTATTCTGTTTTTTAGGTCGACAATGCACCAAACGCTTCACTAACTTAGTCTGGCTTAGTCTAATCTAAGCCAGTCCAACTTAGTCTCCGAAGTTAGTCCAGTCCAAGATAGTCCGGTACAACAAATGCACCCAAAATGTTTTGGGTTAAAAATTTTAAGTTTTAACCCCAACCATTGGAGTTGGTCTTAGAATTGTTTTTATTTATATTTATATTTATTTATTTATAAAAAATGCTTTATTTTAAAATTTAAAGTTTAGCAATAAAAAGTGCTTGGTAAAACTAAAATATCTTGCTTATTTTAAAAGCAATAGCCTCCAAACAGTAGCTTTTAAAATCAACCTACAGGTTGCTTTTAAAAGTTACTTTTATAAAAAGCAGAATTGAGCCTTTAATGAATAATTTCAATTCTTTGCAATACACATTTTATGTCTGGGAGAACAAAATGATTGTCACCACCTAATACAACCACCGCTGTTACCACCACCATCGTTGTCAACAACGCCGGAACCACCACAATCGCCACCATACAGATAACCACAACAACAATCTCCACCATCTTCGTTGTTGTCACCACCGTCTCCACAACCACAACTGTCACCATTGTTGTTGCTGCTACTATACCACTATCGTTACATTTGCACCCCGACCACCATATCCTCACGATTGTCATTGCCATCAACGCAACCACCCCTATAGTCATCGTTAGAACCACATACAATTGCAATCATCACCATCATTTTCATTGCCACAGTCACCGATGCTACCACCACCATCAACACAAGCATAATTGCCGCTGCCACCACCACAAGCATAATCGCCACCACTTCCTTTACGAAAACTGCTACCCCCAATCACCATGAGCTTTTTACATTATATCAATTTACACTGTGAGGCTTTTATATCATGTTATTCTGTAAACGAGTCCTATATTTTTTATGTTATCAATTTAATGAAGGACCAAATGGTTATACAACTCAAAGATATTAGTTGATACGATTTTAAAATTGCATGGCACAAAAATGAGAAATTTGAAAGTCCCTAATCTATTTCAAAAATTAATTTAAACTTAGATGATGTAAGCTGTAGCTAATCACTAGAAGGAAAATACAACAGATTTGGCAATCGCAAAGCTGTGACACCTAAACTCTAATATTTGCAGCCGCGAGCATCACAATATCTATCAATGGCGTAGCTAGAAATTATTCGGTGGGTTAGCTAAGTTAAAATTATTACTATGAAATCAAGTTTTTAATCCTATGTTGCCTATATAAAGTGTGACATCCCGTCCCGGAGTTATCGGAACCGTACGCGTGAAATTACCATTTTACCCCTAGTTATTTTGTTATGTTGTTTGGTTGTTTGTGTGGTGTTGGCAAACTTTGGGCCACACACACACACATACTGTCTCACTCACCCTCACCCTCTGTCTCTGTCTCTGTCACTCTCTCCCTCCCGTGTCTCTCTCTTTCCCCTTATTCTTCACCATATACGTACGGACACACACACACACACCCTAAAACGTCACAGATCAAGGGATCCAAGGCTACCATTGAACTCGTGGAACTGAGAGGAGTCTAGTGGTGCCATTTTCAGGTAAGAATCTCGATGTTTTCACGTCGATTTCACAAGGTCCGTTTTGGGTCACTATTCATGCAAACCTAATCTAGTATGTTTTTGGACATTTTAAGCTTGTAGATGTGTTAGTGAGGTTCCCAGGAGCTTGGGAGTGCTTCGTTGGGTGAATTTGGACGTCGGGAAAGCTTGGTTCAAAGTTGGCCGAACTTGGATCGTTGTTGCAGGTGAGATTCTTTGATTTTTAGGCCCTAAAACTAGTCTAACGTGAATCTACTAGTCTTAAGCTTCATTTTGGTATAAAGAACGTGAAAAATGGTTGAAAAACGAGTGAGAAAACAAAGTTGGAAAATTTTGCAGTTTTCCGGCGACGGCGCCGGCGCCGGCGACGGCGGCGGTGGCTCGCCGGAGAAGACAGGGGAATATTCCGTTAAGGCTAACGGAATATTCCTAACAGACAGTAACGGCGTCAGTCAAGGTTAACGGAATATTCCAGGAATATTCCTGACGGCGTCACCTGACGCCGTCAGTGTGCAGGTCACGTGGCCGCGCGTGGGGGCGCGTGGACCCGTGCCTGTGCTGGCGTGTGGGGGCGCGTGACGTGTCCAAAAATTATTTTAAAAATATGGTTGTGATCGTGAGGTTGTGTAGATCACGTTGGTATATTCATTTGTCTATTTTGAGCAATGTATGAGAAGTTATTTTGAACGGACGGTTATGTGCTTTAAAGTTAACGTTTTTGTAGTTAATTCGCATATAGGTGACACGTATCCCGAGGACGAGCGTGCACATTCGAGGCAGGGGGGCTACGACCCTTCTACTTACCAGTGAGTGGGCTTTTATTTTCCGTATATACCTATATACATGTTATTTCCCAGAAATTAGTATAAATGCTTCGTTTTACGCCATTGATTTTATATGTTGAGTATGCATGATTAGCGGCACATGAATTGGTTTATATTTATTATTACATCATTTACATATATGTTGGTGCTGTGGCGGCCTAGGTAAGTGCCAGGTAAGCGTTGTTTTACATTCGCATTAAATAGTGATTCGAAGTGCTTAGAGGGCTCATAACATGCACCCCCGGTGTTAGTGCTCCCGCCTAGTGTAGGGCACAGTCCTTCACGTGTTGTTCACCTCCAGCACCACACGCTCAGCTTGAATCCAAGTTAGGTGCACAGTCCTGTCGTACAGACCACTATAGGTGGTTCCGACTCGTAGGTGATCCGCGATTATTCGCACAGCCTTCACGTGATCGTAGCACTAGAGCGTTTATATGTATTACACCCAGGCTTGTCGTACAGACCACTATAGGTGGTTCCGACTCGTGGGCAGGTTTAAGGATTTAGTTGTGATTTGAGCTCTAGATTCAGCCGTACAGGTCACTTAGGGGACTCCGGCTGCCAGCTTAATTATGCTAATGATGTGATTTACATGTTTGAGCACTTGCATATTATTACGTGGCGTTGAGCATGACGGTATGCAATTGAGTATGTTGGCATATCCTTGAGTATACTCGGTATATTTATACATACGTATATATGTTTATTTCCTGGGAAGTATACAGGTTTTACGGCGAGGGGTTATGTTATGTTTTATGAAATGGTTTTCTAATAGATTTGTTTTGCCCACTCACGCTTTTGTTTTTGCGCCCCTCCAGGTTCTAGTAGCCTAGCGGGTCTGGTGGTTTCTCGGAGGACGTCTCGGCATTCTGACAGATACTCACCTACGTAGGGTCACCTTCGGGTGTACTTTTGTTGTATTGTTTCCTTTGGACTGCTGTAGGCCTTAGGCTCTGAATTCAGTGTCGTATTTAAGCTAGCTCATATTCTATCACTCTATATTTGCTAGTTTTTAAATTATTCGTACTTTTATATTACTGTTTAGCTTCCGCACGGTGCACATGGCTACGTCACTTCCACGTGGCGGCCAGCATACCCTGATCTCGGTCGGGGTGTGTCATAAAGTTATGTAATAGTAAAAACTTGAATGTAGTAATTTGAAGCAAGAATTTTATGCTATGTTTTCTAGGTTTCTAGCCTTCAAAGCTTTAAAGTGAATAAAATAAGGAACCATTTGTGATATGAAAATTTTAATTTATTACTATTAAATTTAATATTGGTTAAAGTGATGAGTTTATTTAACATCTATTAGCTCTTATTATTCTTAAAAACAAGTTTACTAATAAAAAAATTTCATTTCTTATGCGAAATATGACAATGAAAAATCATAAACTAACCTAAAAATTAATTTTTTTAAGCTTGAAGAACCAAACTCTCCCTATGCTATAGCCTAGGAGAGCTTTGTACTTGGCTCCGCTCTTGATATCTATATATATTTTTGAACAAATCTATAATTAAATATTAAACATAAATACATTGATCAATCATTAATCTATAATAATAGTAATGATAATACGTGGTTGTGGTTTGATTGCTGCTTATTATTATTAAAGACTAGTAAGCGGCCGCGATTCTCTTTAATTATACGAATATTCCGTACGCATTACGTATTACAAAATTCAAAGTGTATTTTCAGCATGACATTTTAAACGTACGCTCCTCCTTTGATGCATGTAAATTATGGTAAATGCGGAAGGAAATGACTTCGCCGGAGCCCTATAGATGATGCATGTTGTGCTTGCCCGTCTAAAGGGAGAAAGCTTGGCTGCTGAAAAAATCAACAGTTACTCCTGCTGCTAGTGAATTACCGGTAAACACGTGTTTAATCTGTGATTAAAAAATCAATTACTTGGACATGTATACATCCGTGATTCACTCGCAGCAGAAACTGCTGCTGATTTTTCAGCAGCCAAGATCCATTCCGTCTAAAGACAAACATTGTCCTGCTAAACTACGTAACCAAAAAATACTTACATATAAAATATAAATTTGTTTTATATGATGGAAGAGGATCCTCTCCTAAGCATAGGATGCGGATCCTCCTAACTACGAAATTCGGGCCGTTCAATTTTAATCCAACGGTTACAATTATTATAATCTTTTTGGAGACCCTCTGTTTAGAGCCGTTGGATTAAAATTGAACGGTCTGGATTTCGTGATCAGGAGGATTCTCATCCTGAGCTAATGAGAGGATCCTCTTCCTTGTATGGCATAGTGTGTCACGTGGCATAGCACTACTGGCGCAAACATTCGACATCTACATGTATACTACAGAGGAAAAATGATGGATAGGAGCTGTTGCATTATATCAAGTATTATATTCATACATACACACAAGGGGAGAGGAACGGTCAAACCAAAGCAGGTAGAGAGAATTACAAATGAAGCCCTGCAGGCATCAAAAGTCAACATATCTTTATATACTAAAACTCAGTGAAGTCTACTGTGGATGACCAGTGGGCGGACGATTTTGCCCCTCGCTCTCCCGTTGTGTGGCTTGCTTCGTGCAGTGGAAAGACAGTTTGCCCATTCTTTCCACGCGTCTGTCATCGTGCTTAAGGAACAGTTGCCCGGCTTGCCCACATGTCCATCATCACTGGACCTGCTTTCGGCTTCTTCAGTGCTTTTCGCCTTTCTCTCTCACCATTCTCAGTTTTTGCTATTATGAACCCTGGCTTTCTTTGTCTCGAAAACGGCGGTTTGTCTCGCTCATCAACCTTGCCGTCTCTCTCACAAATTATCAACAACGATGGTCTCTTGCCGGAAAAAGCACTCTGCAGCTAGAACTTTTTTCGATTTTTCATTCGAATCGATTCAATTTTTTACCCAAAAAAGTTAGTGTTTACTGGTGAGTTTTTCCGCCTTTCTCAACGTGGGTGTTTTATTTTTTAATTTTTTTTGGTAGTTTAGGATTTGCAGATGGGTTTTGTGTTTAAGTTTGCTTTTTGTGATTTTGTTTGTAGGCTCGGATCCTTCCTCATCTTCTTCATCCAAACCAGTAGCCCCACCTTCGATTATTACCGACGGAAACATGACATATTAAGGCGCAACAACAATACTGTAACACTTATAAGAAAGAGCTCCAAACCTGCGAAGGTATTCCCTTTTTTTTTTTTTTTTTTTTTTTTTTTTGTTCTGGGCTTTGAGCTGTTTAGATGTTGAGAATAAGTTTTTAATTTTTTTTTTCATTACTTTGTTTATGGGTTCGCTCCAATTAAGACAATTAGGGAATGGGTTTAGTGTGAATTTAAATTATGGGAAATCCCTTGAGGAAAATCTTAGAATTTTTTAATTTTTGTGAATATATTTGTATTGAATCACTGACCTCTTTTTTATTTAGTAGGGAAAAAGGGAATGATGCGATTGAATAAGGCAATATGGATGAATTTCTTTAGTTCTTGCCATGATAATCTATTATTTTACTCTTTCACTTTATTTTACAGATTCGTTCGAACACCTGCAGGAAGAAATAATAAGGCCGTTGAAGCGTAGAACGTAGGTTTACTTTGATGCCAAGGTTATGAAAAAAGAGTGGTTTGTACATTAGCTAAGTACATATAAGTATATATCTCTGTGTATGTGTTTGTATCATTTGTTTTGATTGCGATTCTTGGTTTTGCGATTAGGATTTTTGGAAGGAGGCTTCGATTCAATTATTGGAACAGATAATATTTATCGAAAAATTCAATGGGTCAGTAGAAGCTGGCTGCTTGCAAAGACAAGAACATCAGTATATATGCATTGGAATTTGTTGCGCTGTAAGTAGCTTTATAGGCATTGTATGCCATTGCCAATACATCAGCTTATATAGCAGCAAAATTGTTTTGTATTAACTACTTTTTTTGTCCTTTTTTTAGCTGAGGCTTTGTATCGTGTGGACTTCAATTGGTGAGTATCACTTCGATGTTGATATAGTTTATTTTGTTGTAGAGGATATGAAGAAAGTGGAAAGGTACCTGGTGGAATGTGAGTTTTGCTGCTTAAGACACAGAATGGTAACTTAGTTATTTCATTTGCTTTTTGGCTATTTCATTTGCTCTGTACAATGCGTTTTAGTTTTGTTCAACTCATAGATAGTTTAACCCATGATATGTCTTCTCATCGTTCTTGGATATCATTAACTACTCCTTGCAAAAGGTGAAACTGAATATATACAAAATTTTATATTTGTGGATCAATAGATTACTATGACTAATTTAAAGAAATTGTTCCAATTTGGTATCAATTGTGTTCAGTTGTTTGGAAGCATAACTATGTCTGCAAGAGATTTACTGAGGATCCGGATTGCATCATGTTCTGAATGAGCTTGAAAGAGGAGTTGCTCTTCATCTGACAATTGCATCGCATGTGAGTAATGTCTTCTGTTTTCATGTCTAAATTATTGAGAATTAACTTATACAGATGGGGATTAAGTGATTTAAAGACATTGCATTTTAGAATAGGTTTTGTTAATCTACCTATGGTGGAACCCAGCTGTTGAGAGGCTACCATAAGATAGAATCCACCAGATAGGGCAGTACAAACCGATCAGGCACACATTTTTCTCCAGTTCTGTAAGGTGTTCCCAACTATTCAAACCAAAAAATCTATGTTAATATCTCTAATATTTTCTTCTCCATTGCAGAATTATTAGATTGTTTTGGAATTTGATTAGTTCAATTTGTTTTTCAATTTTTTATTAATGTTGGATTGTTGGCTTATAAATTTAGAGTGGGTTGCTTTAGATTTTACTTGGAGTAGCTTGCGAATTGATTGCTGGGTTTTAATTTAGAGCACTATCTAATCAAATGAAGGGCCAAGAGTTTCTATTTGAATGATGGTCCCAGATCATTTCATTCGTTCCAGAAATGTTTCTGAATTTGAGGACTTAAAATCCAGACTAAAGAGTAGCATTATCTTGGATTGCCTATCTTAGCATGATGATTTTAAATTACAACAACTTTAAATTTTACATTTGGAGTGTATTTTCATGTACAGGACAAGGTGTGGATTGGATAGCAGGATCTGGTTGGAAGACAAGATTTTGTGAAAGAAAGGGTAAGAAAATGCTGATGAATTTTCGTTGTTGATCTGTGCATGTAAGAGCTCTTACTGATTGTTTTGTTTTCTTTTGGCCATGTAAAAGCTCTGTACATAGAGTTCACAATACATGCATAGTTTTTCATTGTTCTAAAAATTCTAAGTTCCTATAAATCTTTTCCTGCATTTATGAATTCTAAATAAATGCAAATCATAAAAATAATCAGAGTGGATAAAATTATTGGCTTATGTGCACTAATGAAATATGGCAGCCTTTCAGCTCCCACCCAAGGGTTTTTTAAAGAATGATGTAATTAAAGCAATTACATGCTCTGTTATGTTTTATATATAGTTGTGGTAGTTGTAAGGGAATGAAATATTTATGCAGATAATTGGTAGTTTAAATATATAAAAATGGAGAATAATTATAAATGGAACACCTAGGATATATAACATTGTTTTGTTTTGCATGTTTTCTCATGTTAGCACAGCTTTTGTTTATGCATTTTATTCAAGTGCTATTTTTTATTAGTGTTAATTTCGGGTTGTACATCTAAAAATTTAGTTTTTTTGTTGCCATTGTACATCTAACAATTAATTATTCGTTTGGAATTTGGTTGTTTGTTAATTTTTGATTACTACCTATTCTATCAACTTCATCTAAACTGTTTTGCATGTATAAGATTTGTGTTCGTGCAAGTGATTTCAGACAGATTTCAAGCTGGGGTGTAGAGTTTTGATTCAAATTGGTGGATTTGGGTAAGAAACTAAGAAACCATGATATTTTCTTTTGGTTGTAAGATTTGAAATGGACATGCATGTGCTTTTCTTTGTGAGATATAAGAAATTGAGAAATTTTTTTGTTTATTGTTTTGGGGTGGGAGGGGTATTGACAGATATAAGAGCATTAGTAATTTTAATCAATTTGATAAATTAAGAATAGCGAGTTAGCGATATACACAAAAAATTTGTTAATAAATTGGTTAATAGGTTTTCATTTCCATTTTATTATTAGCTCTAATGCTTTTGCTTGACTTATGTGTATGATACAATTGATATGTTCTGTGTATATGAGCTTGCTTGAAATATAGCTAGGAAACATCTTTCCTTTTTTTATTTGGGCAAACATTTATTTCCTACACTGTTAACTTTCTTTAATGCTTGCTCTAGATTTTACAGGTTCTTTTTAAAGTTTGGCACTAAATTGCTTTTCTTTTCTTGGGTGCAAGGAAAATGAAGGAAGAGAAAGAATTAAATTCTGGATTTATCAAACACTTTGTAGATATTCCATGCATTTTTGCAGCTGGAATCTTTTGGTAAATACTTAACCTTTTATCAAAGCCTATGTATGCCAATTGGTTTTGTAGTAGCATCAAATAATTAATTGCTTTTTTATTGGTAAGTGCCTAAATGTTTACACTTCAGTTTAACAGAAAATGAGAAATTGAGACAAAGTTGGAACCTAAATTACCTAATAAATCAATATTAGCAAACCCATGAACTTATTTCGTGATTATCACGATATTGTTTCAATATCCTACTTTTGCTTGCAATTCTGTTCTCTCCAAGACATTAAGGTGCATTTTTGGTTTTTAAGTTTCACCGCCAGATAACTGTTTGATTGTGATCTCTCTATGAGATTGGATATATGATTTAAAATTTTTGTTAACAAATGTTAATTGTGATTCAATTGTTTTTTCAATCATGTAAGGAGATGCAATCTAACTGATTGTAAAAGATGTCGACTATGTTGAACAAAAAATAGAAACTGCATGTCTGTATTATGAGAGGAAATGGAGAGCAATCTGTCTCAGTTTTGGAATGTGCTAGAATCAAAGAAGCTAACTCAAGGTGTTAACTTTGAATTTCCCCGAAATATCCTTTTTTATTAATTATTTAGACGTAGAAATTCTCTTTGTTATTTTTATTAATTATTTATTTGGGAGTTAAGTGAAAATCAGTAAATGCGGATTTGTGTTTGTTTGCCCAGCTGCTATTTCAAAGCTGGAGGAGGCATTGTTGATTAATCCTAGGAAATATGATGCTCTGTGGTGCTGGGAAATGCTTAAATTGCTTGCGCATTATGCACTCTGGACCAGAATGAAGCAAAGGTTCCAAAAGGTGTTGTACTGCTTCCAGAAGGCTTTCAACGAGGTACTTCCACTTACAAATTTGTTATTCTTGGAATTTGTAATCCCGCAGCAACGCGCGGGCATTACTAGCTAGTTATAACTAGTCGTCCTTGGACAGCTAGCTATATATACTTAGCGGTTTAGCACCGAATAGTATTGAAAGATTAGCAACAACTAGTGGCTGAAAAAGCAGTGATATCAAAATGTCGTTGACGTCCAAAGCAGATCGCGAATGGGGTAGTACCAGTACTAGTGGCGCCGGAAGTACTAGTAGCGGGTACCGCGATGATCCGCAGCCACAGCATGATGAAGATGACGACGACGATGATGATGAGTACAGAAATTACTACATGAAGTGCAACATATCAAGCAGTAGCATATCCGAGATTGAGGAAGAGGAAGGTGATGATATCGATGACGAGAAGAAGGGTAAGATTAAAATACCAAGTGAGATCAAAGAGCTTTTCGGATTCAAGGGGTACCTGCCGCCGATGCCCTCCATCAAGGAAGATGTCGATTATCATAGCAGCCACGATGAGAGCGTTTATGTGGGAGTAGGGAAGGGCGAGTCCAGCATGGACGCGCTGACGTGGGCGTTAAAGCACGCGGTTGATCCATCGTCGTCAACCACCGTGTATCTCATACATGTTTTTCCGGGGGTCACCTACATTCCCAGTCCATGTGAGCTCTCTCACTCTGAAAAATCATTCCCTGATCAGTGATCATATGTTTTCCCTTAATTACCTAATCTTACATATATGTGTGATAAGATTTTTCCCCCTTTTATTCTCTTTTTAATTTAATCTAGCTAATTAAGCTATCAGACAACTTAATTACCAAGTTGAAATAAATCCTATTATTTGTCTCATCGATCAAGTTCGCATAAATCACGGAGGAAAATTTAAGGCAACCTAGGCTACCCAGTCCATGTTCATGATGATTTATTTATTCTTAACAAGTATATGCTCTGCTGCAGCCTTATATAGAATTAAGATGGTGCTATTTACACACTTATTTTTATCTCCTACAAACCTATTTTTACCTCGCATGCACTCTTGTTAATTTTTTGTCATTGTTCTTCTTTAATTCTTTGTGGCCGGAATAAAAAGGGTACATAAGAAGTGAAAATAACATTACCCTAAAATTATTGCATCTGTATGTATTTTGTGCGAGTGATCGGATCCCTTGAGTTTGGAATTAAATTGGATTTGATAAGTGTAGTGGGAAAGCTTCCAAAAAACCAAGTGAGCTCACAACAGGTAGAAACTTATATGGCCGAAGAAAGAGGCAAGAGGAGAGTGCTCCTTCACAAGTTCATTGATAAATGCTCGGTTGCAAAGGTACAATAATGTTTCATTAATGCCATTACTTAATACTGCAAATTAAACGAGACACACCAAATTGTTATATATACTACATTGAACTGCATCATCATCTCCCTTTATTACATTAATACAAGTGTATGCGCGCAGGTTAAGGTAGATACAATACTGATTGAAAGTGATATGATCGGAAGGGCTATTTTGGACCTCATCCCTATTCTCAACATAACAAAGCTTGTCATTGGAACTAACAAATCTAATCTAAGGTAATTAACCAATATATTTATTATAATAAGCTAAACAAATTTCTCAATCGGTCATAATTTATTGGTGAGTTATATATCCGGAAATGCATTGGTGCGTAGGAAAGTTATGGCTAAGAAAGGCAGCGGGATTGGTGCTCAGATACTTCAAAGTGCACCCGAAGGCTGTGACGTAGACATCATATGCCAAGGAAACCAAGTGACAAAGACGATGATGGATCAGCCTCAGCCACCGACTGAGTCGTCGTTCTCCCCACCTCCCAAGGACGGTACGACGACGATTACTAGTACTACTAATGGAACCACCAACTCTATGCAATTGCAAGGAGACCAACATCAGAGGACTGAAAAGCCGGCTTCTTCATTCTTCTGTTTTAAACCCAAGTCTTAATATATAAACTCAGCAACCGTAGCGGGGATAAAGCCCTATGGGCAATGGCCATACCCTTACTTTGCCTTTTTGGTGAACACCCTTTACTCGACTTTCCCAAGCGTTCAAAATCATCATTGTAACAATTATACATTTTGTTAAGATATTTACTTGAATGGTCATCATCTCTGTAACAAATTACATGCATGTGTTTTATCTGAATTTCAAGAAACCGGATTGCAATACAAGTTCTATTTCTATCTGAATTTCATATCGTTTGTATTTTCAATTGTTAAGTTTTAAATCGTTATGCACGAATAAGTTGACAGCTGTAAATCGGAGATATTTTGCAAATCTCATAGGGTACGGACAGTACAGCAGATGAAGAATAAGAGGGCTTATACCGATCTTTTTCTCAGGGGAGGTTGTTGGGTACGAAACCCCTAATCCGGATGGTTGGGGGGGGGGTGGATTTGGATTCTCTCCGGATCCCTCCCTGGGAATCCCGGGAATCAAGGCACAAGGACCGTTCATCAAAGATTGTGCGGCCATAATTAAATAGTTTTTACACAAAACGAGATTGCTTTACTTTTAAAAATATAAAAAACATTTAATTGTGGCCGCACGATGTTTGATGAACGGTTCTTGTGCCTTGATCCCCGGGATCCCCAGGGAGGGGATCCGGAGAGGATCCAAATCCGGTGGGGGGAGGGTTTAGGGTCAAAACATGCATGATGTAGTGGTGGGCCAAGGGAAATTTTATGAGTATTTTTTTAGTACATCGATATTTTTATATTAGAAGATGAAAAGTTCAGCTAAACTACGTAATAAGCATCTTAATTTGATATAGAATGAGGTGGACTACCCTCCGATGCTAAACACTCTCTCCTTTATCATAGTTAAATCCCGTGACAGTGTATATCTGGTACGCAACAATTTGCATTACAAGAAGAAAGGAGGAAATAATTGTGCAATAAAATTTTCCAACTGTCAACAACAAAGATACAGTTTCTCATAATCCACCAAGAAAAACTAACTTCACCCGCACTTCTAACCGTCCCTGAACCTGAATTGTCCCAAAGCTTCTTTCCATCCAATAGAAACCATTTGCAGTCGATTGATATACAACTATTGCTAAGCGAAATCAAACTCAAGATAATTATCGGAACACTTTTGATCGGGAGCTGCGATTGTGGCCGGGGTAGGAGGAGCCTTCTCCTTCGCGCTTGACGATGCTGTTGGGGCGGGTATCCGCTCAATCTCGACAGGCTTTGGGATATCTGGTGGGGTAGCAGTAGCACAACGTATCAATGCCTTAATCTCAGTTGCCCCTCGTTTAATGGAAGAGAGAGAGAGAGAATGCCTTTGATCGAAGGAAGTGGAGTGTCTGAGGGACGCCATCGATGAGCTTATCGCCCTTCCAAATGACACCTGCAGACCTGCTCAGTGCAATTATCATAAATATGAAATGCTCAAACAAAAATTATAATAAATAAATAAATTAAAATGGATGCCTCGTGACCCAAACGACGTCGACCATTTGCGTGCGTGCGTGCGTGTTGACAATTTTTGAGCGAGACCGTCAGTTTGCGATAAAATTTAGGTCCGGTGCAGGACTTGCTTGGCATTTGATTTCTTAAATGTTTATCCACAATTTCTTCGGCCTTCGTCTTAATGCACGAAATATACATTGGACCTTCACCTTCTCAAGCAAGCCAATTTTCTTCATGCAAAACTGGTTTGTTCCTGACTCTAGAAAAACTAATGGAAGTGGTTTATGCATGGTGGTCTACTCCAAAGGATACTATTTGCATCATTTTTGAAGGGATGAGCTTATAATTATCTCGCATGCAAATAATATATATTTATCGTAGAAAGTTTATAATGGAAACTGTTTCAGTTTCATCATCCACATTAAATACTTCTATAAGAAATCATTTGAATAAGAGATTATTTAGTCATTAAAATGTATAGAACAACTCAACAGTATAAGTACCAAATAATATATTCATAAATATGAACTACTCATTTATTTGATACTTTGAATTATTATATAATTAATTTTCGATTCAAATAATTTTTCGTAAAAATGATCCTCAAATGATGATTAATAAATTGAATGGTTATGATCGTTGAATTTATATGCTCAAGATACGTTATTCATAAATTGAGGGATATATGCATAATATTATCCTGTCTGAAATCCTATTAAGTTTCAAAGCTGGTGCTAAAAAAAACACGTGGTAAATCAAATCTTCCATTTATAAGATAATAATTGGCAAGTTATATTGAAAAAATTTACTACTAATTATAATAATGTCTAATGTAATAAAATTCTACATTATTAACTTGTGCATATGAATAACAGCAGTATTATTCAAATGTGTTGGCGCATTATCTACAAAAACTTGTTATACTCAATGTGTCAATTTCAACCTTACTTTTACAAGGGAAATGCAACACGAATAAAGTAAATTATAATAGTGTGTGTTAGAGAGAGTGCGAAGCTGAATTCCAATACGGCGGCTGTACTGTGTAGGCTCTAGTTAATTAAAGCCGTCGATACGGTTGAAAACTTATATAGGTGGGTGAGCCATGTGGCAACTCAACGAAACTTAAGGTAATATGTTCAATATTGATGGCCGGCTTGCTCACTCCATACTCGGTGTATTTTTGTTCACCATCATAATTATGATGTATATTTATTATATGCTTAATTATTTGACACATGTTTTTTTATTTAACTCTAGTTAACTTTAACATTAATATGAAATTTTAAATTTTGAAAAAAAAGTAACCATAATTAAGTGAAATAACACGTGTTAGATGATTAGGTGTATGATGCACATACACCATACACCAAAATTTAAGGTGGTGAGTAAAGAAGCTCCCCTCCATACTCCATAGTCCATGCCGGAGGCACAAATGATGTACGTAACGGTAGTTCTCATCATTTAATTAGAAAATATTTTTAGTTAGAGTCTTACATATTTACGTGAAGTTAGACACTTAATTAAAGTTAACAAGTTTATAATTGTTTAACTTTGTTATAGTTTGCATTAAAGTTTTTATTGTAAAATATGTTGGTAAATATCCGTCAAAAAAAAAAAAAAGAACAAACGAAGGCGAGTGGGGGATCATGCACAATTAAAACGAGTACGGGATCATTCACAATTAAAACGAGTACGGGATCATTCACAATTAAAACGAGTACGGGATCAGTCACGGTTCAATATTGAAATGTGGTGGACACCCTGGCTCGAGTGAATACTGCTGTGCTGCCTGCCCGCCTGGCTGACGTGTAAGGCATTATGTTTGTGTCTGAGTGTGACTGTGAATTATGATGAGAGAGAGGAAAATTAGCAGAAGCACTCCACAGTCAAACAAACAAGCAACGAGTCGCCAATGGGGTGCTGCCCCTGTGTCCCTCGATTACTTGGGGTTTTGAACTTTGTACGTCTTTGTATCTTATGACCCTCAGCCTGTGTGCTAACTACGATTGTGCCATTGTCCTTGTCGTGGCTGGTAGGACGAAATTGCCTGAAGCCAAACCGGTAGAATATTACTAATGACAACCATGCATGCATTTTCGTTTTTGCTAAAAATAGCGTCTTTATAACCACTTAAATATCATATATAGCTCATGCATCACATGGACGTATTTTTCACCACTTGTTTTTCGCTTGTCACAATTTTTTTTATTTATTTATAGTTATCTCTCTTTACTTTTAAGTAATAAGTCTTAAGTTAAAATATTGAAAATAATAATATTTTCAACTGGTTTATTTTGCAATCTTCTTAGTATAAATATATCATGTATCAAAAGAAAAGAAAAACGTGACCAAGTACATTTTCATTTGACCATCATACTGTAAAGGCAAGTGTGTTCATTATCAAAATATTTTGGATCATGTTGTAAACGGTCGGACATGCATGATGTGTAGATATTATGATGAATTATTGCAAATAATATCAATTCCTGAACGGACCTAGCTTCTAAATTGGGAAGAATTCATGTCATCAACTGTTATATTAAAATCAGCAATTAATTATTCATAAGTTTTACTTTTTATGAGAGTAAAAAAACATTAACATTAAAGAAAACCTTACACATGATAATGTATTATTAGATCGATACACCAATCGTTTAATGTATATCATTCTCTTCTTGTTTTTAAGAAAGTTTCAGTAGATTACTTCCAAGTAGTAAGAAACAGAAGAAAGAAAAAAATTGTGAAGTGAGAAAATAAAGAATGGCAACAAGTGCAAATTGTGAGAGAATTGGTACCCAAATGATTGAGTTTAAAAGCTGAAAGTCAGTGACTCATTTATTTAACTTCCCTTCCCTCTGTATACCCAACCAGTCCTGTTGTCTATACAAAGAAAAGCACACATCTCTCTCTCTGTCTTTGAGTCTGCGAGTCACTAATCGTATCTGGGAAGGCCTCTGAGAGTAGTAGTGTCTGTCTGGTGGAAGATTAGATTGGCAAATTGTCAATGGCAGATCTCAAGTCAAAGTTTCTGAAGGCGTACTCCGTTCTGAAATCGGAGCTGTTGGAAGACCCTACTTTCGACTTCACCAATGACTCTCGCCAGTGGGTTGAGCGGGTATTGATCTCTTCATTTTTCACTTTTACCATCACCAATACAATTCAATCCGATGAATTCGTTTGGTATCGCTGTCTATTTTCTCTTATTTTTATTGGAAGCAAAATTGGAACTCCATAACCATAATCCATCAACTGTTTCCTTCCTTTGTTTATGAAGTCAAAACAACACCTTTTATTTAATTTCGGTGATCTAATTCTAATCTGTCGTCGTTGGGATTTTACATACATCATTAGCCCCATCACTTGCAATAATTGAAGCCCACCTGCATTTAGACGATTGGGATTCTCTCCTGAGTCCTGAGTCCTGTACTGACTGCCCAATTTTCTTTTTTCTGTTACAGATGCTGGACTACAATGTGCCTGGAGGCGAGACTTCAGTTTCAGTTCAACTTTTTAATTAAGCAATGTCCTTCAAGTATGCCTGTCAAAGGATTCTGACTCTTATCCTGTCCTTCAGGGAAGCTTAATCGGGGATTGTCTGTTGTCGACAGCTATCAGTTGTTGCAACAAGGAAGGGAATTAACCGAAGATGAAATCTTCCTGGCCAGCGCTCTCGGTTGGTGCATCGAATGGGTATGGAAACTAAACCACTTCCATTCTCTTTTGAGCCTCACAGTTACTTTCTACATATTATTGTTTAGCTTGTTTCAGCATTA